AGTATATTTTATTATAGTTTTTCTTTTTCTCTATTTTTTATTTTATTATTATTATAAATAGATAAATTTTTTATTGTAGGATATATGAAGAGATAATCTATACGTCATATATATCCATATAGATACCAAATACAATTTTCCTTTTCTTAAAATAAATTATTATTATTATTATTATTATTATTAAATTATTTAAAAAGATTAATTAGAGTGCACGCACTAAACCTGTGAATGATATTTAGTACTAATTAGTAGTATTTCATACAGAATCCTTTGTATCCTATTGTTTGATTATTACTATTTTGTACTAAAAATTAGTATTTGTTTCACGGGTTTAGTGCGAGCACTCTATTATTATTATGAAATAATTCATGCAGAGGGTATTTACGTCAGCCGAGGACCAATCAACAGACGGGGATTATCATAGCTATAGATTGCATTGATAATATAACATATGCAAATGATCGACTTTGAATAGATGTTTTTATTAACTCTAGTAAGTCGATCCATATTACATTTAAGTAAAGGTAAAAACTTTCAGTTATAATATATTAATATTCATCGATGAAGATGATTCCATAATGATATAACTAAATCTACCACCCTTTGAACTCGCCAACTGAGCTGAATCGCTATAAATATTCAATCCTTTGTTTCGCATGAGACGACAAACAAAAGATGTTTTTTTAGAATATTTTTTATGATAACAGTTCGCCCCTGCTTTTGTTAACAAGTCATTAAGAGAAGAGGACCAATACATGAAGCCTGGTTGTCTAGCGGCAGAAATAACTGCTGAAGGGAAGAGTATAGCGATCTTTTACGATCGATCAGTATAACAAACAATAATTTAAAGATTAAGTGCATCGAGTCTCTCGCCGAAAAGGTAAGCTCAGCATAGCTGATAACTATGAGAATATTAACAGTGTATGTGGTGCATCAACGGTAGATCCTGCAGAGGCACAGGGAAAAGATACGTTTACGTGGTTATATAATCCTCGTTATCCAGCGTTAGCATACAATATACACATATATATATCTACCGTTGATGATTCAGATATATAGATTATCCATTTATARATTATAGATAAATGAAATACCAAACATCAATTTAGCTGTTACTCCGAGTTGAATTCACACTTACACGATCATCAGCCAGACTTTACAATCTATTACGCTCTGCAACTTATTGCATCGAGCACTCTACCGACAGTATAGACTCAAGCATCCAGATTTATATAAATATATATATAGTTGGTAACTATAAGAATATTAATAGTCCATATGGTGATTTGAACTTTGAATACATCGCTTCAAAGCACACAGCATCAATGGTAGGTACTGTTTCACATATAGTCAATTCAAAAAATGTTGTCGTCGACCAGCTCAAGACTACGCGACTGGACCGAAAGGAACTATGGGTAGTAATCATTGAAGCCGAGTTGACTGCATAATTTTATCTGACTAGTTATGCCTGGTTTACAGCACGAACGTTCGTAGGCGAGCGGGAAGTGTTGAAGGAGACGTTTTTTTAATGCCTTCATATTTTCGAAATTGTGAACTGAATCATAACTACCTTGTTTTTCTTTCCCAAACCCAAAGACATGCATTTGATGGATTGTTTCTCGCCATTATTATCTTATTACTAGCGGGAACAATTTATTCAGAACGAATATTTAAACCGCTTCAGTGATTTTTAACCATATTTTTTTCCCGGTCCAGTCGCGTAGGCTTGAGCCAGTCGACGACAACGTATTTTGAATTGACTGTATAATACATACATATTGGTCAAAGGTTGTGCATATGGCTGTATATATTACATAACTCTGATTGCAGCCCATATACCATTAAACTTTCGGTAGCGCGAGGCTGACTGGTCGATCGTACAGTTGATCAAAGGAAAAATTACGATTTGATGGACAAATCCAGTTGATAAAACTCTAAGAGGATTGTAGTTAGCCTCTCCATCAAACAGGAATTGGCAACCTGATAATAATAGTAATGATGATGATGATGATGATGATGATGAT